GCATAAGCACACCAGGGAAGCAGCTTCCCTGAAGGGTTTCTCAAGAGCTTCTCCACAACTGTGAGATGCCACCCTGTGCGTCAACAGGCTGACCAACATATAAAAGGGACATGGCCTCAGAATTCAAAATCTGCCCCAGTCTAGGACTGTGGCCCCAGTCAAAAGCCAAAGCCACTAATGTGGAATCCTAGAACTAGTTACAACCAGGACAAGGCTGAACAGTTATTGTAGCTTAACTTTTCATCTGTAATACAGATGCAAGCCATCATCCCACCCTCATCCCAGGAACTTTACAAAAGAAGAGGAAGGCTACCAAATGCCAGCCAAGCTGACCAGCACCCACACTTCCTGCATCTGAGTATCCACTTCCACAGGAAGGAGCTCTTCACCACACCCAAGCCCAACCAACCTCAAGATGTGGACACAACAATACCATACCACCCTTGGCTGGAGATCAGGGTTGAGTGCATGGCCAGGAAGCTTAAGCAAAGATCATAACTTAAAACAGAAACAAAGGACAAGAGAGGAGAAGACTGAAGTTCCTGACCCAATAATGGGCATTATTCCCTACAACCAGGAATAGAAAATCACAAAATCTCCATTACACGGGACTAGGTAAGTGAGGCAGCTCACATCACAGAAGACTCTTCATACACACCTCTCTCATCTCTATGCACCCAGCCTGCTTTCTTCAGCTGACTCTGTCAGTGGTCCCACAAAGATGGGAGAAGGCACCGAATCCAACTGGTTAAACCTCTTGAGATGATGCAAACTGACTCTGTTTATCATTTATTTTCAGGACCAGCAGAAGAAATTTAGGAAAATGCAGAAAAATAAGAGTGAACTTTTTCATTTCTAAAATAAGTATGGGTAAGGCAGTAAAACGCCTTTCCCTCTATATAAATAACATGAAAAGACAAACATGGAGTCAATATAGCCAAAGAGCAGCCATTTTAACACTGCCTAGATCTGTCATGTTTCTCTAGCAGTTCACTTAACTTACTCTCTATTCCCTAGCCAAGGACAGAACAGATTTCTCAGAGGCAGTTATTGATATTGCTTTACAACCCTCTCCTCAGTTTAACCTAATCAGTTCTTCATGACCTTCATGACACAAACCCCATCATGACAGTGCCATGTGACTAACCCAGCCATCTGCCTGCCACTCATCACCTGACATCAGTACCTGTGTGTACCTGCCCTCTGTAATGATGTGGAGCAGATCTAGTGATCTGCTTAACAACCTGTTCCCATGAAAGGGAAGGGTTAAAAAGCATTCAACTTCAAGCTGCCAGCTGCCACTGCCTTGCTACGCTATAGTCTGGCCATGTATTCTTTGTACTATGGCCAGGCCATGTTTTCCTAAGCTTTGGCTTCCTCCCCTACCTTCGGGAGATGAATCTCTCCTCTCCTTCCCTCTTCCTTTCTCTCATTTACTTTCTAAATAAACTTATGCTCTCCTCTCCCTTTCTCTTCTCTCTCATTTACTTTCTAAATAAACTATCTTTCCAATCTAACTTCTGTACAATTCTTCGCATTCTTCTCGCAGCACTGGATTGCACAACCCCACCCTGGCAGGTCTGACCTAACATTCTGGAGGCCCTACTGGGAGCTTTAACCTAACATTTTTGGAGGTCCCACCAAGATCCCCCTACTGGGATTTTGGTACCTAACATAACAGGAAAGGGATTGAGGATTATGCCTTTAACAGGCTAAGAAATCGACAACAAGCCCTAAATTAAGACTGTATAAAAAAATAAAAGACTACAGTTTTAAAGAAAAAACAACACACTTGCTGTTAAAAACAGGCTGGGCATGGTAGCTCACATCTATAATCCCAGCACTTTGGGAGGCGGGGATGAGAGGACTGTGTGAGACTACAGGTTCAAGACCCTGGGCAACTTGGTGAGACCTCATCTCTACAATTAATCAAAAAATGAGCTGGGTGTGGTGGCATGTGCCTGTGGTTCCAGCTACTTGGAAGGCAGAGACAGAAGGATCACCTGAGCCCTGAGGGTCAAGGCTGCAGTGGTCGTGACCATGCCACTACACTCCAGCCTGGACAACCCAGACTCCAACTCAAAAAACCACCACCACCACCACCCAACAAGGTATCAACTGGTAAAAACCACCAAGGCCCTGCTTCGCTCTTCTGCTTAGAGGTAAGAAAGAAGGGTAGAAGGAAAAGAAAGGAAGAGAATCTCTGGGGCTCAGCCTATTTTAATTTTTATTGTTTTATTTTGAAAATCACCAAATTCTCCCCATTACTGTACCCTCCTTCAAACATTGCAATGACATTCATAACTATTTTCTTGTTATTCTCAGTCATGCCTGGAATACAGACAGATTGGGAAAAAAGGAAGCAGCAACAACAGATTGGAAAATAGGCAATTAGCCTGAAAGCACATGATTAAATGAGTGACTAATAAACACTCTCTGGCTGACTCCTGAATAAATCATGTTCCAGACCCTCAGTCCTCTAGTGTACACAGGGATCAAGCAGAATGTCCAAGCCAGGAAGAACAACTACAGCTCAAAGAACTAAGATTCAGATTCTTCATAACCCAAGCCCACACAACCTACAAACACCTCGACTGAGTTGAGCTTTTTGGCTCAGTACTATCCAGGACTATGGGGAAAGCATTTACTGAGAACTGTGGGATATGCTGATCTAGGTCCTGGGATTCCAAATGAAATACATTGGTTATTTTGCCCCTCAGCTAAAAATTATGCTCCTGCTACCTATCTCCTTTCCAAAGACAATACACTCATCATTGTATTTCTCCTTATGTATCTCTTCATTCTCCACTCACCTGTTCACAAGAAAAATAATTCTACTGTAAAACCTTTCTCCCATGTTTTTTCCTTCTGTTTTTGTTTTTGTTTTTTTTTTGAGTTGAAGGTTGAAGTCTAACTCTCTCGCCCAGACTGGAGTGAAGTGGCACGCTCCTGGCTGCCGCAGCCTCAACCTGCTGGGCTCTGATGATCCTTCCGTCTCAGCCTTCCAAGTAGCTGGAACAACAGGTGCGCGCTACCATGCCCAGCTAATTTTTAAGATTTATTATAGAGACGAGGTCTTGCCAAGTTGCCCAGGCGGGTCTCGAATCTGCGGGCTCAAGCAATTCACTCACCTTGGCCTCCCAAAGCGAGGGATTACAGGCTGAGCCACCGAGCCCAGCCTCCTCTTTGTTTTTAAAGCAATAAACTTACTGGCAACTAAGTCTTTGGCAGAAATATGGTCTGTCCCAGCTATAGGAAAGGTTATTAGCAGCTACTCCAATTACAGTGGAGAGAAGCAGTCGCACTGTTGTTTCTCCCCAGCCCAGCTGCCTTGACCATAACTGTTTCCCTTCCAGATGCATTCCCATTGCATCTCCAACTCTGTGATGAGTTAAGTGCAGCAGGAGTTGGGACCATATTATGAGTAGTATAGTAAGATCCTCCTTTCCCTGGACATGCTTATATTTCAAATTTGAAACTTAAAAGGAAAGCTAATTCTAAATGAAAACGTACAAATCATATCCTTTTTGTTAATGATGTTAGAAATAAACAAAAACCATGAAGTCATCTTAAGAATACAAATGCCACAATTAAGGCCAAGTGCAGGGACTCAAGTCTATAATCCCAGTACTTTGGGAGGCCAAGGGAGGAGGACTGCTTGGAGTTCAAGGCCAGCCTAGGCAACATAACGAGACCTTGTCTCTACAAAAACCAAAAGTTTAGCTGGGCATGGTGGTGCGTGCCTGTAGTCCCAGCTACTACAGTCCCACCTATTCAGGAGGCGGAGGCAGAAGGATCACTTGAGCCCAGGAGGTCAAAGTTTCAGTGAGCTGAGAGTGTGCCACTGCACTCCAACATGAAACCTCAACTCAGGAAAAAAAAAAGAAAAAAAGAACTACTCTGATTCTGTTTCTTTCCCCCTAAATCTGTCACTCTCTAAGTGCTATTTGCGTAATTAAATGCATTTAATTCTGTATATCAAATGAGAACTTTTGTAAAAGTAACTTAAGCACACTTGACATATCTTACAAAATGATGTTACTATATAAGCCAAACATAAATATGGCTCCCTCCCCCCCATAACACCCACACAATACAACCAGAAAGCTAGATTCCAGGAAACTAACAAGAAACCTCTAAATTTTAAATAGAATTTTATTCCTTTACGTTGACTATATTCACACATTTGCTATGGAGTAATTATGCTCAAACACAATTTTCAGCACTGATTACATAGTTGCCTAAAAGAAAACCGCTAGCCCCTTCCACTTTACATGAAACCAATGTCCAAAACACTCCTGACTCTTCATTTCACCCCCACACTCTCCTCTACCTCATCCCTCCCCATGCCCCAGCCTCACCCTCATCACATATGCTAGGCCTGAACTTTGAGTTCAATCCTAACACTCTGAGCCCCTCCTCAAGCCTTTCCTCCGGCCTGGAATATCCTCTTTTCAGTTCTGACTTGCATCTACCACCTCATTCTAAGCAGCTGCTGTAAACACTAACTTCCTTATGGAAATGTCCTATAATTCCTCTTACAATTTAAACATGTACTGAGCATGCTATGTGCCAGACACCTTTATGTAATTTTGCATGGGGTCTCCTATCTTGTTTCATGAATTTTGAGTGTTTTCTCTGGTCTACTCTACCCAGCCCTGGTCACAGTCTCACTAGGACCCTGCCTCACTTGAACACGGGTCAGCAGGATCACCTTAGGTGTCTAATGGCAGAGTATCTTCAATTAATTGCATATCCTGATTGCACTGTGGTAGGCATTTTGGAATGAAAACCAAATACAGCCCGAGGGAAGGATCCCAGCCAAACCTGACCCCGGAAGACCGTGAAGGAGCGAAAGGCTGGGAGAGGCTGAGACGACAGCTAGAGAAAAAGGGCAGGAAGAAGTGGGGTGCGTGCGATCAGAGATTGGAAGTCTCGGGGAGGGCCCGGAGAGCTATCCCGAGGCAGGGCCGGGAAGGAGGTGGGGAGGTGTGACTTACCTGTGAGGTCAGGCCGGGGCCAAGACCCGGACCCGAAGAGCAGGTCGCGGTAGCGCTGGAAGGCCTCGTCGAGGACTGAGCAGCCGGGCTGCGCGGCCGAGCTCACGTGGTACTGGAACTGGAAGTTGTTCGGGTAAAGGACATAGCGCCGGTCGGAAGTCTGGATGTACTGGGGCCAGGGCCACAGGGCCGTCACCCGCCCGGCCAACGCTGCCGCCAGCAGCAGCGAAAGCCACAGCCTGGAGCCCGCCATGACCGCCCGCCGCTCGTCGCCCTTCTCAGCGCGGCCGGGCCACGTGACAGCCGGGTCAGGTGAGCGGCGCCCACGTGATCAGCGGCGAGTCACGTGACCGGAGCGGCTTTGCGCCGCTGACCTCTGGGTCTTGGAGGACTCCTGTTCCGAACGTGGTGTTCTTGTTTGCCGCGTGGCGCCTATCGTGCAGGACCTGGGTGGTGGCTCCGCTCTCCAGGCGGCTCCTGGGCCTGATGGAGCAGCAAATAACGCACCCCCAATACGCCCATGGTGGCTGCCATGGAGTCACAGGGTAGCCAGCCGGCAGGCGCGCGGAGTGGGGAGGCGGGCGGCACGGCGGGCAGGCAAGGGAGTCTCCCAGGAGGACACTTCTAGCGTGAATCTTGAACGGTGAGAAAGAGCTCGTCAGGCCTGCGGGGAGGTGAAGCGCTTCCCAGGCTGACAAACTTCAGAAGCAGAAAAACGGAGGATTAAAACCACATGTCATGACCGGCTCCGTGGCTAAACCTGTAATCCCAGCACTTCAAGAGGCCGAGGCGAGTGGATTGCCTGACCTCACGGGTTCGAGATCAGCCACGGCAACTTGGGGATCCCTCGTCTCTACAATAAATCAAAAATTAGCCGGGCGGTAGCGCGCGCCAGTAGTTCCGGCTATTTGGAAGACAGACGGAAGGGTCAGCGGAGCCCACCAGGTCAACGCAGGGGTGGCCGTGAGCGTCCTCCTGCGTTCCAGCCTGGGCGAAGGAGTGCGACCGCAAGTCAAACACACACACACACACACACACACACACACACACACACACACACGGCGGCCGAGCATGGTGGCTCACTCTGGGAGGGTGAGGCGGGAGGATCGCTTGAGGCCAGAGGTTGGAGACTATCCTGGGCAACATAGAGAGACCTCCGACTCTACAAGGAAAAAAAATAACCATACGTAGTGGTGCACGAGTCTAGTCTCAGTTACTTGGGAGGTTGAGGCAGGAGGATGGCTTGAGCCCAGGAGCGTGAGACTGCAGTGAGCTCTGAGCGCACCACTGCACTCCAGCCTGGGCGATAGCGCAAGACCCGGACCCTGAAATTCACACACACCTCTAAAGATACTCACATCTTCATGATGTGAAATGCTGTGGGGTAGGAAGAGGCTGGAATTAGTAGTCTGAACGGTTCCGCTAGAGAGGGGATCATAAGATCACAAAAATGTGATCTGCTTATGACTAGAAAAAAAATGTGGCCTTTCAGACCAAGCTTGAGACATCCCATTGCCTACATCCCATGTGAGCTCTTCTTTCGTGACTGATTATAAATCTCCCGGGTAACTGTCCTCAAATCCCCTCCCCACAGACAATACTTCACATACCCTGGTGTGTTTGCTGCAGGCTGTTAAGATATTGGCGGGTTGTTGAGTGAAAGATGGAGAATATCCAGAGATAATGGCAGGGGCCTACTTT